CCCCGGCTGGAAACGCACGAAGCTGCGGGGCTCGGAGCCGCTGGGGCGACCGGTGTGGGGCGCGGGGATCCCGTTACCCCCCTCGGGCCAGGGGCGTGGGCGCCTTGGGGCTGCTCCCTGGGGGGATTTGTTTCTGCTCCTCCTGCCTGCTCATTTCTTGCCGTCGGTCTGCTTTGACTTTGAGGGTAAAGCCACGCTGGCCTCCCACTGCTTTAGTGGTCTCCCTTCATTCACCCTTGCTTCAAGTGCAGGTGACTTGGATAAGTTCTCCGAAGAAAAGTTTCAGACTAGTTTCAGGTGCCAGATCCACCAGTGAGTCTTGTCTTTTTAAGTCCTTTCATGTTGCATTTTAATACTTATTTTCTGGGGGCGGGGAACAGCACAGGCTACAGACAGGGAACCTGGCTGACTGTACACAACATGCTGCCAGTTGGTACATAAGAGCAAAGAAAACCTATTTTTTTCCCTGTAATTTCCTTCTGCTGTAGTAATTTTAGGTGTGACTCGTAACACTAGCAGATGAAGACATTGCAGGCAGAAGTGCAATGCTGACATTGCCCTTTCCGTTCAGTTGCTCATTCTGCATGTCAGGCAAACCTAGTGTCTTTTAGTTTCCACGAGTGGAGGGGTGTTTTAATAAAAAGTTGGTAACTCAAGTTCCAGAAAAATTCCAGGAAATCCGGAAGAAATCTGTTAGTGTTTGGTTTGTGTTGCGGGAGGTAACAAAGATTCAGGACTGGACCCCAGTGCCACTGAGAAGAATACCACTCTCAAACCTCATTAATAGGTAATACTTAGGCTTCTGACAGATGTTAAATTAAAGGTGAGAAGGGCTCTGATGCAAGATCCCAACAGGTCTTGCATGGCAGGAGATGAGATGGTGGAATCCAGCATTGTATTGCCAGCTCAGGGGGAACTCTGGAGGGGTGCCCTGATCAGCTACCAGCCGCTGGAGCCTGCAGGAGTCTGGGAGAGCTAGCCACAGATTCAATTAAAGGCATGATAGGAACTGGCTACAGTTATTACCCAGTTTATGTGATAACTTTGTGGCTTATTCCTCATTTTATTGTGCTGTTAATTGAATGAATGAGTGGCCAGGTCACCACTTGCGATGCAACTGACCACTCCAGTGGCTCTAGAGAGACCAAGTGTTCAGCTGATAGAAAATGGCTTTCACTGAGCTACAATAGTTTTCTCAAGTTGAGGATCTGGTTATTAATAACCCAAACTGAGAGTTAAGGATGTTTTTAACGGTATCTTTTATTGAACGAGCTGTACAGTTGGGAGAGATGTTAGACACACTTCTGGGCAAATAGTGACTTGAAAAGGGCACTTTGTGCTTCAACCCTTCATATCTGACCCTTCACCTGAAAGCAGGTGGTGGGGGCAGGTGGAGTTGTCCTGCCTGCTTCTGTTTCTGGGAGGAGCATGGGCAGGGAGGGGTACAGCAAGAACAGACTCTCTTGCCTGCTTTAGGTTTATTAGATAGCCTTAATCTAATACAGGAGGAGTGCCTGCTTAAGCACTGCCCTTCCCAGTCTGGCACTGCATGAAGCACACGGGGCACTTGTACCTGGCTATGGTGGCTCTGCCTGTGCAGCAGTACCTCTGAAAGGGGCTTGCACAGGAGTGGACAGTTATTTGGGCTGGAGGGCCACTTAGTGAGTTTTAGGGAGCTGTTGTGGGCTGGTCAGCAGCCTTCCCTCTTCCACCTCCCCTCAACCCCCAACTCCTGCAGCAAGTCACCAAAAGTCCCTAAGTAGCTTTGCCCCGGGGCCCAAGACCAGCCCGGAACATGTTCTAACAGGGCACACTTGGCTGGGCAGTGGGATGGGACCACAGCCTGGGGTGGATTGGCATCCGAGAGCAGGATAGGTAGGCAGGGCTGTGATCTTGGAATGGTGATGGCCAGGGCCCAGAGCAGAGCTGTGATCCACTCCCAGTATGCCCCTGCCTGTAGAAACGGCGCTCGTTGCAGGGATTTGTGGGCAGCAGATCATGGCTCTGCCTCAGACCACAGCCCTGAACTGTCAGCACCCCAAGATCCCAGCTCTGCATTCCTGTCCCACTCCTGGATACCACTCCCCACCTACCTGTGGCCCCATCCCATCTTCCTGCCTGAGCATGCCCTGCCCACATGGGTCCCAGCTCAGTCCCCATGAAGACCTCATCAGGTGCCCCCAGTGGTGGCTGCAGAGTGCACAGGCTGGAGTGCTGGGGCAGTGGGGCCAAGGCTAGGTCCTATAGTGGCAGCAACACTATAGGCAGTGGCCTGAAGGAGCTCCTGCTGCTGGGGCAGCTAGGAAGTGGAGTCCAGCCATCTTACCACCATGCTTCAGCCTGCTGCATGCTCGGGCAGCAGGACTGGCTACACACGCTACAGCTCCTCAGATGTAGGGGGCTGGGGAAGGGGTGGGGCTGAAGTAAACCCAGCCCGGTTCACCAGGCTGTGACAGGGACAAAAAGTCCCCATGGTGGGGGCTTCTCCTCCCTTCACACTATGCAGACCTAGGCTATGGGACTGGAGGTCTGTTCCTTTTGCCCCACCCCTTCCCACCAGGCTGACTGGCGCAGGCAGGAAACAGGCTAGGGAGCAGAGGTGTTACTGCCTCAGCGCTGTGACATCTGGGAGTGGGGCTGGCCATGCTTCTCTGGAGCAGACACCATAGCCCAGGGCCACAAAGCATCCTGGGATAATGGGGGTCTGTGAGTTAACTTGAATCAGGAGGGGATCTGGGATATAAGTTTCATAAACTCTTTTAACCTAAATCAGTTAAGTTGGATATTTCATCCATCCAGGTTTATCTTGAACCAGGTTTGGTCATTTTGAAAGCAGTTTATGTATGCTGAACTTATGTTCTGTTACAGGTTTAAACTGGTGTCCAGTCACTTTACCCAGTTTATGTGTAACTTCTCTCCTTGGGAAATGTTCTAACAGTTAGGCTACGGACAGAAGAGACGGGTTTGTTCTTAACCTAGCTGAGGGAGACATTAATCTAGCTAGAGGTACTCCCCAGCTGGGTTATGAAAACTATGATACTTTGCCACAGTGAATCAAGAGTTAGTGGTTATTGTGAATCAAGAGTCTAGTGGTTAGGACACTTATCCGGAGGTGTAGGGGTAGGGTCCTGCATTACTGGCCTTGCTTACAGAACTTTTTACATATTTTATACAATGAGTGTATTATAAAATATGTAACTGGTGCAGGGAGTAGAACTAGAACCCAGCCCCCAACCTAGGAGGAGAGAATCCTAACAAGCAGTCTACAAAATTGCACTCCATTTTTTCTGGCTACAAGAATCTTGGATTCTTTGCTGCATGGAGGCACATCTTCAACAGGTGGAGAGCAGAAAGTGTCCCAACCTAGCACCGCGTGGTAATAAGGGTACTCTTCTAGGAGGTGGGCCATGGATTGAGGCCCTTCAAACTTTGGAAGAACCTGAATGTCTTCCATTTTTTAGCTGAATGCCATAACCTTTAGGAGGGACCAGTACCACCACCATTTAAAGTGACCATAAACAGTTTTTTTTGCAAACCTAATCCATCTAATACCTATCAATCTACTCTGAATGTGCCTACAGATTGGACATCTTGGGCAACGTAGGTTGCCTAGTCTTTGAATCCTGGATTGCCTAGTCTTTGAATCCTGATAGAGTGTAGGTGTGTGATGAGTGTCAAACTGTTCAGAACCACCCTAGTCTGGGATTGTGCAGGAGCTGTACTTTAAAGCGCTGAGAGACATCTAGAGAACTTCAGTATCAAACTGGGAGTTGCCTGAGTTTTCTACTCTCAGAGGCACTCAGAAAGGTGAGGAAAGTTTTTTGGATCAGTTCTGGACTTCACCACTTCACTTCTTCCTGTTTGTGGGGTTTTTTTGGATCTAGCCCAGAGCAGTTAAAATATGGAAGTTCAGTACAGTCGCGTCATATGCACATTTAACTTGCGCAAATTCAACTATATGCAGGGTGGGAGGGGGGCGGGGCTTGAGTTTGCGGCAGCGACAGGAGGTTTTGGCAGCATGGTGGTGGCCCGGCGTCATGCAGCCACCCCCCTCTCCACCCCACGCTGTGCCGCTGGCCGCACAGCTCCAAGCACGGCTCCACGGCGGCGGCAGAAGGTTTTGGAGGCAGAGGAAGTCACTGCTAGTCAAATCGGTGGCAATTTGACTATACGCGATTTTCGCCTTACGCGCTGACCTCAGAACCTAAGCCGTGCGTAAGATGCAACATGCCTGTAAACAGTTTCTTTAAACAAAAGGAAAAGATAAAGCATAACTTCATGCAAATCCATTATGGTAATGATGTCCAGTAAAGACAATTCTTGTATACTAAGTCTATGTTTTGGTTCATACAGTTTGGCCAAAAAATGACCATCTTGAATTTAAATATACAGGTTTCTTGTCAATAAATAAAATTTATCATATAGCTGCAATGCAGGCATTGACCATCATTGAGAATTAATATTTACCTGAGGATTGTGCTTTGATGGCATACAGGTGTCAGCTCTATAAATATCTAGTATTAGAGGCTCACTGATACATCAGTTTATATCGTATCAGCAGTGATAAAAGGAAAATTGACATTATTGGCAATCGGCTTTTTTTGGCTGATGTGGCTGATAATGTTGCTGATAAATGCCGTGTGCATATGCGCAGCTGCAGCATGCACATGGCCAGCCCAGCAGCTTGGACAGCAGCATCCAGCTAGTAAGTGTGTTGGAGGGGAGGGAAGGGTCATGGAGGGGAGGCAGATTGGGGCTCCCGCGATAAGGGAGGGAGCAGAGCTGGGGCAGGGACAGGTGCTGCTCAGCCAAGATGGGGTGGGAAATGGAGCTGCAAGCAGCTTGCCCCAGGAGGGCAGCTCCTGCCACTGTATGCACCCCCGGGGCAGGCGTGGGGGCGTGTGCCCCCCCAGATCTGTGTATGGGGTGAGGGTGGGCTGCTGCTGCTGCGAACTGGGGCCGGGGCGGTGTCAGGCTCTTGCCAGCGGCGGTGGGGCTAGGCCGGGGCTGCATTCAGGGCAGACAGCAGCACTGGGGAGAAGAGGTCATTGTTGGGGGGTGATGGCAAATTCTGGAGTGGCTGCAGCCCACCCTGTAGGCCCCCCTCCCAGCACAGCTTCTGCCCACTCTGAGCGCAGCCCCAGTCCAGCACCCCCCACCAGGAAGAGCCCGGCCCCACCAGAGTGGGCAGCCCGCTCGCACCCCGCGCACAGATCTAGGAGGCACACACCTGCGCCTGCCCTAGGGGTGCATGCAGTAGTGGGAACTGCCCCCTGCACTATCCCAATGAGCTGCTCACAGCTCTGTCCCACACCACACCCAGACTGGGCAACACCAATCCCTGCCCCAACCCCACTCCCTCCCTCATCATGGGGGCCTCGATTTGCCCCTCCCCATGCCCTTTTCCTTCCCCTGCCTCTTCTTCCCCAACAGACTTACCAGTCGGACCCTGCTCTCCAAGCTGCTGTGCTGCATATCGGCAGTTGGATCAGTATCAGCCGATACAGCTTGTTAATAATCGGCCATCGGTATTGGCCCAAAAAAGGTTTATCGGTGAACCCCTATCTAGTACAATAATGTGGGCATTCTGCTCTGATAGATCTGTGCTATGGGAATGGAATGTGTGGGTTAGAAGAGGAAGCATCTATTTTCTTTTGTTGATAGTCATAAAATAAATAGCAGTATATAGCAACAGCTTAAGTTCCATCTACTTATTAGGCTCCACTAATTCAGCTGTTTCTTTAAAATTATATTTTGCAGACACTGCATGCTTAAGACAAAGTGAATATTTTTTTTGCAAATAATTTTCAACAATCCTCATCATCACTAGAAAATACTAGCACATTTCAGTCTTTGACCAGGCAGCACAGAAGAGCCTGTCTTTTCAGATGCGAGTGAAGCAGAAGTCCGGGACATAGTGCTGGCTGCCTTCAGTAAAAAGTATGAAGCATTTGTACCACCATGAGGATATTGGAGGAACAAACCATTTATGAAGAGCAGATTTATTTGAGCACAGGATTTTAACAGTAGAATTCTGAGGTATTCATTTTGACCTGATTGCCGATATTGGTATTGAAATGTTTATTTGGAATGCTGTGCAGTGGAGGAAAAGAGATCTGCAGTTACCATGTTAGTGAGTGGGACTCTTCAGTCAGGTTCCAAGACTTGGGCTTCTTAAATAGGAATCCTGTTCTACAAGACTAGAAATATGAATTTTGGATATATGAATACAGATACTCAAAAAATTTTAATTGTGTAATAAGTGGTTCAGTATGTTTATTGTCCTTGAAAGTCTGATGGTGGATGCATTTTCTAAACTTAGATATTCATTCTTTCTCAGCAAATTTTCTTCAGACATTTCAAAGGAACTTCTTACTGAAGAACATGGGGAGTTTGAAGTTTAAAGTGAGCTATCTTAACTTTGGGCCCATTAGAAACTTTGTTTGTTTTGCTTTTCTTTTTAATACTTATAACTTCAAAATCATCAACCAGAATTTTACTAAACTTTTAAAAGAATATTAACCAAGAAAGGGAACAATCTTGATCCTGTAATGTCAGGAAGATGTTTTACATGACTATATAATTGTTGAGATAACTGGTTTTACAACAACCAGAAGTATGGGAGGCCCTTTTAATGGTACCCATAGAAAGATACGTTCACTGCTGTGTAGAGCTGTGCTTCTCAGCCAGGGTACCAAGGTGCCAGGTTACCCATGTTACTGCCAGGTCCTTTGAAGGGTACTGTGAGATGCGAGGAGATAAGCAGATAAGTCAGGCTCAGGCTTCTCCCTGCCTGGATGATCCCCACCCCTTCTGCACAGTCCCTATGTAAGGAGGTAAGCATTGTAATATATACATTCATTTTTTAAATTTGGTGCCACGCAATTCAGAAAATGTATGGAGGGGTCCCTCAAATCCAAAAAAGTTGAGAACCACTGCTGTAGATCTTACAAATGTAGACAGTAGACAGCAATGACTTGATATCAATAGGATTAGGGGAAGCAATAGTTATACGACCATTCATGTTAGGCTCGGGCATCCTGGTGAATTAGGTGAACATATGAAGTTGTAGTCTTAGTCATTAAAGGTGGTGTGGATAAACTGAGTTGTATGTTTTTGAGGTTATGGCTTGGGTTACAGCTGCAGCAGGTAGAGAATGCAAACATACTAATTGGAAAAATACACAGAAGGCCACCAAGATGAGATCTCTAACATCTTTAAAGACCATGATTTTGAGAAAGCACATCTAAAAGATGATATTTCATAAAGGAGAAAGTATCTACAAATAGTCACCAAACCTGCTTGATTACAATACAGTCAACACCATGAAACTAAAATACATTCAAAATATGCTTTACAGTTTGCTCCTTTGCAGTTTTATGAAAATCCATATCAAATTCTTAAGTGTTTGTGACTTCTGTGTTTACCTCAGGAATTCTCTTTTTTTTTTTTTTTCATAGACTAGACCCCATCTTAATAGAGGGTCTTTTGAATGCTCCTGGTCTTTTTTCCATAGTTCCTTTATATTGTATTAACTTGAAAAGTTTCTTTGCATGAAAAAATATTATTAGGAGAGTATTTAGAGCTAAATCCACAGACTGACAAGGGAAAACTTAATGTTTAAGATCCTGTCACCTACTGAAGTCCTCAGCTCAAGCTTTCTACACGATGCATAGAGAGGTTTAGGTGAATATAAAATGGGATTCATAGAAGCTGGCATGCTGATTGGGCAGCTGCTTAAACTAAAGTGTATGAAATACTGAAGAGTTTCAGAACTAAGCCCCATCCCTCAAAGGATGTCAAGTGCTTAACTCTTGGTCAGCAATGCCTGTTTCTGGTTGGTATTCTGAGTTAAGTAGTTTGTCTTGGAGTTAGGTCCCTAAATTAAGCCACCCCTTTACGGTGGGGGGAGGGGGAGTTAAGAAAAAAAACCACATTACACCCAATAGGCTCTTAATCTGGAAGATGGGAGTCCCTGCATTCAGATCCCTCCTTTACTTGTTTTAGGGCAGGGACTTGAATCTGTTACTGGCCTATCCCAGGTGAGCATCTCTAAGTATCGGGCTATAAAGTTAATCTCCCTCTGGTCCATTGAATAATACAAAGTAAGTTGAAAGCGCTCTGCTTTGATTGCTGTTCTAGCATCTAGTGGCATTTCTATTCAGTCAGTTGAGGGAATCAGTTGATTTAGTGGTTCATTGTTCTTTACAGGTCAGGTATTAAGATCATCTCTTCTTCTTAATTGTCTTGATGTTCCACTGATCAAGCTTACCTTTCTTCTGGCAATTTTACTCTTTTAGATATTCCTGCCCTGTCTTATTTCACAGCCTTGCAAACTGTTTTTAGCTCTTTTTAAAATAATAGATTCACCCATGGAAACCAGTCTTTAGCATCAGGTAGAGTTCCACCTTCTGGCTAAGCAGGAAAGGGGTGGTAAATCAACTAAAGATTAGGCTCTGTCTCCTCTATGCAGCCATAACTTTTGAAAAATCTTTTTTGCTCAGCTCTGCCTTCTCAAAAACAAGGTGTATGTCTTGTCTGGGGGTATGTTGTATGCAAGAAAATACCATATTTTAATATAGGTTGGTGCCTGGAAATAGAACCAGTACCAGCCAGTTCTCTGTGGATTGGACCTGGTTTAAAAAAACATTGATTCCATATCAGTATTTAAGATGAGGAAAAAAAAGTGTTTTGTTGTTTTCTGACACAAATGGATAACTACGGACTCCCAATCAGAATTGCCAGCCTGTAAAGTTGTAAACAACTCTATTTTCCCAGAGTGGCTTAATCTGTCAGAAGTCTCAAAATTATAACACATGGCTGTATCTAGAAGGTTGTGATAACAGGCTAAGTAAGAGGGAATATTTGTGCCTTTGTAGGAAAGCCTGCACAAACCATAACACCCCAAAGAAATTGCTCAAACGATGCTTCCCCACCATTCATATTTTGAAAGCACAGACAGTCTAGTGTTCAGCACGTGAGCACATGCTACAATTTTAGCAACCATTTTTATTTGTTTTAGGAGTCAAACATTGATTCCATAAAAATGATATGCCATGCTAAGGAAATGTACAAAACCCCTTTTGTAGACGAGCCTACGAACTTCATTTTATAAATCTACTGGATACAAAAAATCATGGACTCAATATAGACATTGGATTTATGACACATTATAACCTGCCTGACATCTGATTCACCAGGTACCACATTACAACCTGACCTGACCTCTTACACTTTTCTTTTTTCCCTCCCCTTTCTCCCCTTACCTCCCCTATTTTTCTGCCCTTTGTCTTCCTAATTTCCAGCTATTTCCTTTTTATAGCCTCTTTTCTACCTTGAATTACTACTACTGTAGAGTCTCCCTTACTCAGCTTTGGCCTTTCCCTGCTCTACCTTTTGTTTCCCTAATTTCTACCTATTTACATTCTAACTGACACCCTGCCACACTTTTGGCTTCTCTAATTTCTTGGAGTCTCAGAACAGCAGAGACTTCCTATGTCTGAAGAAGGGTGGTCACCCCCAAAAACGTGCTAAGAACTTTTTTCCAACTATGCAGTTGGTCTAATAAAATATATCACATCTACCCAAAGAACCTTGCTATGCTATACAATATGCACTCAGGCAGTGAGATTAGGAATTTATTTTCAATGATTTATTGCTTCCATTCTAGGGGTGGAGTCTCCTGTCACATAGGAAAACTACTCTGCTTTTCCTTTCTTGAATACTGAGTCTACTTGAGTAATGCACATCTTTGCATTTTTCCTGTGATAGATATCTAATGACTCCAACACAAACAGACCTGCAGATGCCCTTAGTCAGGATGCCTTTTGGGTGCAAGTTTGAGGAAAGAGCAAGGAGTAGAACATACTTGCTTTAATGTTAGCATGCAAAGCTTCAGGACCTGTGGATTGTCTTTCTAAATACTTTTTTCTATGCTTATATGTGTATCTATTATGGATTTATTTTTTAGACATTTTAAAATAATTCACACAAATTCTTCCTATTAAAACTTGGCCAACAATATGTAAACCCAGGAATTAAATAGTTTATCCCACAGCAAGTGTTTAAAACAAAAATTCAGTCAGGCATTTAAAGTGTACAGAAACTAAACATTGAGGTATACCAACTTGTTTTGGGGGGTGGGGGTTAAATTAGTTCAAAGATAGCTTACAAAATTACAAATTAAATTTTAACAAGTAATTTTGTAGAGACTGCAGCAAATCTCCTGTACACTTCAACAAGATCGAATTAGTGTAGCCTGTGGTTTGCTCATTGTGGGTATTTGGTATGTAAAATGCCAAAGGCCTGAGATGCTCCCAAATGCTGTTTCCTGGGAAACAAGGTCACAAGCTGCGGCTCTGATCCTTTTTCCCAGCAACAGACTGCAGCTGAGGGTGAATGTCCCCGAGTTCCCCATTCTAGTAGTCATGGCTACAAACCCAAATTCCCAGGCCACATTATGCAAGCACTTCAGGACTAATGTTATCTGCCCTGCACCTGTTTACTCTCCTCTAGAATTAGTTACTATCTGAGGGAGAACCATTTAATCAACAACAGGGCGAAGAAGAAATACAGAATTTTTCACTTGTATATCAACAGGGCAGTCCAGGAAATAATTAAAAATCTTCATACACTTTGGGAAGTAAAAAGCATCAACCAGAGTCAGTGACCTTCTTTCATGGTTTTCTCATTTTGGCTATTTTTTCACCGTTTCTTGCCATGTTTTTTTGGTTTTCTTCCCCCCCCGCCCCCGCCCAAATCTTATCAGCTGAACTTGAATGCTGTTCCAAAAAAAGGCCCCAGTTCTGCCACTGGAGGTGTGTAAATATTTTTTTTTTCAAAGTGGTGATTCCCCCATCCCACCCCCCACTAAAAAAAAAAAAAAAAATCAAAAAAAAAATTTCTTGGAATTATCCCAAAGCAAGACACAGCCATCATCAGAATGAAACTGGCTTTAAAGATCTGTTAGACTGCATATTAGACTCTAATAATAGAGAAGAGATGGAAGCCCTGTTGCTAATTGGGGGGGGGGGGGGGGTAACATAATGGGTGGGGAATCCTTATCATTTTGAGAGAGGGTTAAATTTAATTTGAGGTTTTTAACATTCTTAAATTAAATGTTTGAAATGTTCCCAAAGAAAACATGCTTTGAAATGAGAAAGCAAAATGTCTTGTTTTAGAAGTTCAGAAACAAAATGTTTGGACTTTTCTGAATGTTTTTTCTTTTTTTGCTTAATTTTTCTTTTTGCAAATTTTTCAGTCACCCTATGAAACAAGTTTTTCAGCCAACTGTTCACCAAAAAATTCTGTCAGCTATACTTTCCTTTCCATACCCTCTTCTCCAGCTGTTTCTTTAGCTCTCGCATAACTCCTCCTTTTAGACCACCTTTTCCAAAGTGTCATGCCTGGTGTTTTTCTCCCATACTTTTTCTTCACATAAGTGTATTTTCTTCCATTCTCATTCCATGTTTGTGCTCTCCACACCTGGTGGCTCTAATGCAGAAATAGAGAGCTGCCTGGAAAACTTCTAAAATATGTGACTGCCTTCCTGGCATGTGCTTCTTGTAACCATGTCTGCTCCAAGGCCTGTTTGGGCCTCAGCCCCTCTTAAATATACAAACCCTCCAGCAACAAGATTCTCCTGTCATAGTCATCTTTGTCACATCCACATTTTGGCACTGTGCTTTGTGTTCCAGAGCCATGCCTACTATAAAACATTAAAGTGTAATTAAGAGTTATAGCCTCAAAACTAAATATTTTGGTGTATGGGCTATTTGGGCAAATTATGCACAAACAGAATTACACTCCTCTTCTTGCAGTTAAGCTTAACCTTTTCATAGCACACTTGTCAGAGTGTTGTGATCTTGAGATTTTTTCATTAAGGCTTATATGGGCCTATTTTAAACGCATACAAGGTACCAGTTTTCTAAAATATTTTTTAAAATATGCTTGCTTCGTATTGCACTACCCCCTGTGCGAGCGGGCTTTCTATCTGGTTTATAAGCCATTAATAAACTAAATTCAGTGTTTCCCTACAATGTAACAGTTTAACTAAAGAAATTTTAGTTTAATTGACACAGCAGTTGTGTAAACAAGTCCGCAGACTTGAACCCAAGTGTGATTAACACTGGGGATAAGCCATATGCTAGGTCAGGACTGTCTGACTTCAGTGGCTGGGGGCTGCATGCTGTACAGATCGCAGGCCTAGGGCCACGCACTGGGCAAGCTGCATGCCGTGGGGGCTGCATGGACTCCCTTGCAGCACTGCCATGTGGACTCCTTACCACTGCTGCTGTGTGAGCCTTCTCACTGCCACCACCACATAGGTGAGCCCTGCCACCCCAGCTGTTAACACTGTGCAGGTGATACTCCACCAGTGCCATGCAGGTAGCACAAGCTCCCCCCACTCAAGTCCCTCTGCTGGCATTGTCACACATCAGCAAACTCACCGGGACTCTGGCCATGCTGTCTTGTGTCAGGGACGCAGACCACCACCACATCTGCCAGAGTAACAGGGCAGTGGTGGACCAGCACGAGCTTACTGCCTGCACTTTACCCTTGTAGGCTGCAGCCGAGCCCTCTGCTAAGTAAAAGGGGCACCGTGGCATGAGGAATCTCCAGAAGCTTTTCGGCTGCCTACAGAAAAATTGCCTTCCTCGGTTCCAGCATCAATGCAATCTTTCTCAGTTCTTTTGAGGATATTATTTGCAAACCTTGGTTTAGGAGGAGGCATGTTGAGAGGAGGAGGGTATCTTCAGCAGACAGCCTGGCCTATGGAATAGCCTAGAATCAGGAGTGCACAAAGGTGGCTTATGGCCACCTTCCCCCAATCCTCCCATCTAGCCCATGACTTGCATGCACACCTCTTTTAGCAGCACAGTAAAAGATCTCACTTTTACTAAAAGATGGATTTTTTTCCCCCTTATTTTTTAAACAGATTTTTTTTCCTTGGTAATACTGAACCATTCAGGCTTTAGCAACAGAAGACTGTTTGGAAATAATGATGTTAAAAATGCCTTAAATAATTACAACATTTATTTTTCCATAATAAAAGCATTTGATGTTGTTTGAAAGTCACCAATTGATCATAAGGGGGGAAAAAAAGATTATTGTAAAACTGTGGATTGTTGCACTTAAATAACATGGTCCAGATCACAATAGCATTTGGGGGGGAGGGGGTGGTCATGATGAAGATTTATTCATACATATAAAAAAGTTCAGAATGTGTTTTTTCACTGTATTAACCAGTGAGAATTACCCCATGATGAAACATGTTTGTAATGGTCACTCGATGGACTCCAAAGTTTTTTGGCGCTCTTTAAAGGTAGTCAACAAAATTATTTAGAGTACTTTCACTTATGCACTGCCAGGATCACTTTTATCACAGAATGGGAAAATTAAAATGTCCAGTTATAAACCATTAGGCTTATTGTAGATTTTTTGTAGCTCGCTTTACAGTGCTGTGCAAGTTGCAGGTAGCCAGAAACTCCATCTGAAAACTAGCAGCTTCCTAGGGCAGATAGGAGATGACTCAAGAATATTTAATGTTGTCCATGGACAGCAAGTGATAGTAGCTCAATAAAATGATGCAAAACCTGTTAGCATAAGGCTGAAAATACACCTTTGCACTGTATTCAGAAAAGTGCTGATAATGTCTTTTTTTAATTTAGTGGGATAGAAGATGAACTCAGCTGAATTCACTGAGGATGATGAAGGTAAAATGCTGTCTTCTGTATATATTTTAGTTGGACAGAACTACTTTTAGCAGAAAGACTTTATACCTCTTGATTGAGATGAAACAACAATTCTAAATGGCTAAAAGTGCAAACTAAAAAAAAACTTCCGTTATTTTTGTTACCCATCTTCTTTTCCCTGGCTCCAGACTTCTGCCTGCTGCATCTTCTATTCACCATTTGTGTATTTTTAGACTGTGAGCTCTTTGGGGAAGGGACTGTTATACCCTGTAGTTTTGCACTGTTCCTAGCACAGTGGAGCCTTGGCTTGGGTGAGGCTTTAGCTAACACCACTAGAAAAACAAGACATACTAATCACCCACTGTTCACAAGGCAGCTTCAGAATTAAAATACAAGTTTCTGGAGAAAGCTCATTATTGTTATAAAACTTTTTTTCCCCAGTAAAAAATATTAAAAAAAATATTGTCAAAGTAGAAACGGAAAATGAAGATGAAGCACTAGACTGCTCCGTGGCATCCAGACCTTTTGAGAAACAGCCCCTGGATGGATCAGTTACAAGCCTACAGGACTCCAACAAAAGGAAACAGATCTCTCTTGGCGGTGACGGTTCCGGGAATCAGCAAGACGCTTTACCCAGCGTGAAGAAAAGACGCTTTACCCAAGAGGTGATTCCTCTTCTCATGGCTATGCATGATTATCTGTTTACATCTTACAGACCAAATTCGCTGCTGCTATGAGCACAGTGCAGTTTGTATAGGCTTACTAGCAAGTGAATCTACAATTATGGCCTAATGTTTGCTTGGTTTATGCATTTGTCTGGATATTTCAAACAATGCAAGTAGTATCCTGTTTCACAACAAATTTACACCTTTTTATCTATTGCTAAATGTTTCTATTTTTTATACTGCATATAAACATGGCATTCTCAAACTGGTTTGGATTTGGGTGTTGTCAATTGTTAGTTGAACATTGACCATCTGTTTCTGAAATGCAGATCTGCAAATCCCTCCCACAACCAGATCCAAACATGATGAGCTACATTAGTGAAAGGGCAGAAGATCTGTTGCCCTTACACCATACAGAACTCTGCCATAATTCTCAGCGTAAGCACCTCTTTTCTTCCAAAAAGCCACAGCCAAACCTAGGAATATAAACTTTAAAAGGTTAACTTTTGAAGTGGAACAATGTACTTGAAACAGTGAGTTCACATAGTTGAATATACATCTGAATCCTGTCTTGCTCTCAAGCTGCGTATTAATAATACATACCTTCATACTGTCACGTTTAACTGCTTTATTTAAAAATAATTTAAACAACCCAAATTGATGAAACCTAAAATCTAACAAATTGATTGCTTATCACAATATGCCTTCTAACAGAGATGGAGCAGAAGTCGTTCTGAATTTGAGAGGATAAGTTGGGGCATTCTCTGGAGACGAGAGGTCACCAGATAAAGATAGCCTCCTATGCAGGTTTCACTGCTTTTGTTTTGTGTTATCTGGGAAGTCAAATAAATTCATAGTTGTGGCTGCTACTTTGTTCTTAATCTGAGTTGCTCTGGTATTACTGAATCTTATAAACAGGGATGTTAAAGTTGGAATTAAATTCCTACTTAAAGCAGGTGCTTCTCTGAACAATGATTCTGAAAAAGAGGTTTTTATGTGGTTTCATATTGTGTCACTGACTGGCATCGAATGAGCATTTTAAAAGTAAGCCTGGGCAGAGAAGTTTCTGACCTTTATCCCTGCAGAATTGACTGGGATCTAAAAGTCAGGCTTCTCATGCACCATCACTGAATTCATCTTTTTGTCTTCATATTATGTCTTCAAACATAATCTCTGCAGCCTCACAGCCTCTGGTGTGCTCATAAATTTGTCTGTGGAAGTGTATCAATGTAATGAGAGGAGAAACTGGCACCATAGTTCAAATTCAATTTATTCTGTTGTGGACTCAAGAACTAGAATAGAACCCAACTTCATGCTTGCATAGGTATTTTTGGCTCCATGTTACTTACAGGAGTAAAACGTTGCGTAAACTTATTTTTGTCTTTAAGGTAAGCAAATTAAATGGTTAAAAGGGTACAGATCATTCTTTTTTCAGAGAAGAACTTCAGACAAAATGCCTGGCCCTTTGATGGGCCTTCAGTGTAGGTAGCAATTGTGTATCGCCTTAAAAGCTTAAAACCTAAGGCTGTATCTTGTTGCTTTTTTGTACTTGAATGCAAGTTAAATATATTTTCATCTCACTAATATTCTGTATAGCAGGCTGGAAAAATATTTCATTATGGTCACCTGCAAAATGCATGCATGTTTTCTCACATGTTTGAGTTCTGCGTATTGTAATTTGATTGTTTTGTTGTTGTTCATCTACTTAATTTTCTAGGAGAGATTCTCAATATCCATGTGTGCAAAAATAAATGATAAATTAAATATTTACTGTGAATTAATTAAAACATTTGCTTCAGAACTCAAACAAAGAGAAACAGTTCAGAAATAAAGTACTTGCATGATTTTTGGTCTGAACTCCGAAGGTCTCACTGCTTGCACTTCTTATGCAAGTAGTGTAGAACCAGGAGAAATTCAGCAAATCTAAATCTCCCTGGCTTTCAGAAATCAAGAGCTCTACTTTCATTTTTTAAAAGATACTATCAAGGCATTGTTGATTTATAGACTGTGTTCACTATATTGATTTCTTTCCCCCCAAATTTGGTTTATCGTCACAAAGTTGTTTATGAGTTACATAACTGGAGTAGGTTAGCATTTCCATGTTCTTTTGTAGTGGAAGGAGAAAATTAGCACAACTTTGGGGCCAAACAATCTTGCTGATGTTCCCATAACCTGTTAATAAAGAGCATAATGAAACACTAAATACAGTTGGATGAGCTGGTGAGATTCAGTAGCCAGGTCACAGGAGTGTGGGTCAGAAAATCTGACTTCTATTCTTGACTCTGTTACTGACCTGCTGCCACTCAATCTCTTTGCCTTCCAAGTTCTTCATATACAAAGTGATATATAATGGTATGGTATTTATTCAGGTCCATGACTAGGGATTTTTTCCCCCCCAATCAGCCCTCTGTCTTGGATTTTTCTACAAAGCGAAGCTGGGGGGGCAGGTGGCTGCTGTGGTCCTGACTCTGGCCATGAGCCTGGACTGGGGCCAGAGTCAGACCCACAGCAGCTTCCTCTCCACCTCTGCTTGCCCTCTGCAGGTTCTGCTCCCACCTGTGTACCCTTCCTCCTCCTTAGTGTCAGGCACAGCTCAGCTCCAGCTCAGACTTGATTCCTTCCCGGGCATGGAATACAAAGAAACTCTGTCCCCTGCCCAGCCAATCAGCAGCACCGCCACTGCTGCCTAGCCCAGCAGAGGCTGAGCTTCCAGGTGCTGTGCTCTGTGCCCCAGCAGGGGACAGATCCCAAGCAGCATCTGGCAGTAAAGGGGGAGGAAGAGGCAGATACTGGGGGAGAGGGACAGAGAGACAGAGATTTGTGGAGAGTGGGTAGGGGAAGGAGCAGAAATAGTTGTGGGGGGGGGAGGTGGCAGAGACTGAGGAGGCAGGATGGTTGCAAGGAGAAGTGGGGAGTAGAGGACAAGGGGCCACCTGGCTCTCCTAGCCACTGCTTTCCATGCTATAGCAGTAGGGGGAAGGAGGAGAATTTAAGACAGCCCTCCAATAATTAGATTCTACACCTGGAAAATTCTAACAAATTTACACATTTTCACATATATAGAATCTAATTATTGGGCGGGGTCGTCTTAAATTCAGGGTGGTCTTATATTTGGGTAAATACGGTACTTAATTTAAGAAAGTGTTTAAAACACCTCAGGTGAAAAGTTAAGTATTATCATTGTTATGAGGTCTCAATACAGTGATTTCAAACAAAATTAAAAAACCAAAATAATATTTTATTTGTAAAACATGATTAACTGATATCCTTAATGCATTTGTGAATTTCACTTATATAGCACAATTAGAGTCACTGATGAAAGTTAAGAAGGGCATATTTATTAAATGATATCTGTGTGTGGAACACACATTTGTGGCTGTTTATTTTTAATGCAAATCACCTTACTAATGTACCATTTGTTTATTCAAAGGGGCTTCTGTCAAGTGTGAAAAACAGAGATACTGGGTCACCCACTCAGGCAAATGTAGAACAGTCTAACAAGAACAAGAATCCCAGTGTAACATGGCTTTGTGAAGAGGACACTTTCAGTGACATCACCACTCCATCCTACAAGAAACCTCTGTATGGCATCTCTCACAAAATTACAGAAAAAAAGAACCCACCAGGGGGAGAGCAGTTTGCTTCCTATGAACTGTATGAAAAGATCAGTCCTAGCAGCCCATCACATCTTCGTAATGATCATCGCAAAAGGGACTCTGGTAATACCATGGTTGTGACACCTGCCAGCACAGATTCTGATCCAAATGTATACTCCTTGATACAAAAAATGTTTTACACCCTCAACACCCTGAATTCCAACATGACTCAGCTTCATAGTAAAGTTGACCTCTTGTCTCTTGAGGTCAACAGAATTAAAAAACAAGTCAGCCCGACAGAGTCTGTAGCAGAGTTCAAGCCTCCCCCTGAGTACCAATTGACTGCTACAGAGCTGAAACAAATCATGGATCAAAGCACATCAGGCGGAGACTTGGCTTGTCGCTTACTCGTGCAGCTTTTCCCAGAGCTCTTCAGTGATGATGAGTTCAACAGGAGTTGCAGTGCATGCGGCTTCCTTAACAAAAAGAAACTTGAATCACTTCATCTGCAGCTTATCCGGAACTACGTGGAAGTTTGTTACCCTTCTGTAAAGAATACTGCTGTCTGGCAACTGGAGTGTTTGCCACAACTCAATGATTTTTTCAGTAGGTTTTGGGCTCAAAGGGAGATGGAAAATAATCAGCAGAGTGTGCAGTCCTCCAGTTTTTATGAGGCTGACCAGGTGGATTCCTCTCATTTCATTGAGGATAAAGAGCAGGAAGAAGCTTTGTCACTGGACAGGAGTAGTGTAATTGGCTCAGATTATATTCTGGATGCTCAAGATCTCAATGAGTTTTTAGATGAAGCTTCCACGCCAGGGGAATTTTCTGTGTTTTTGTTGCACCGATTGTTTCCTGAGCTCTTTGACCACAGGAAGCTTGGTGAAAGGTATAGCTGCTATGGAGATTCAGGAAAGGAACAGCTGGATCCTTCTCGGCTTCAGATAATCCGCAGGTACACAGAAATATACTTTCCTGATGTGCAAGAGGAGGAAGCCTGGTTGCAACAGTGTGTCCAACGAATAAATGAGGAACTCGAGAGCATGTACATGGATGGGAGTGAGTGTGAACAGATGAGAGAAGATTGCTACGATTCCTCTAGTTTGCCAGATGATGTATCTATCATAAAAGTGGAGGACAGTTTTGACTATGAAAGGCCAGGAAGAAGATCAAAAAAAATTTGGCTTGTGCCAATAGATTTTGATAAACTTGACTTCCCCCCTCCTGATTTTGATGTTCCTGTTCCAGATTATTTGTTGAACAAGGAACAGATTAAAAATATATATGAAAGCAGTCTCTCTATAGGCAACTTTGCCTCTCGATTGCTTGTACACTTATTTCCTGAACTGTTTACTCATGAAAACTTAAGGAAGCAATACAACTGTAGTGGCTCTCTAGGCAAGAAACAGCTTGATCCCGCTAGGATTAAGTTAATTCGACACTATGTGCAAATACTGTACCCAAGAGCAAAGAATGATAGAGTGTGGACGTTGGAATTTGTTGGGAAGCTTGATGAGAGATGTCGACGCAGAGATACTGAACAGAGACGTACATACCAGCAGCAGCGGAAAGTCCATGTGCCAGGGCCAGAGAGAAGAGAATTTCTTAGCTATGCAATAAACCCAGAAAGATTCAGAGAAGAGTTTGAAGGACCACCATTGCCTCCAGAAAGAAGCAGCAAGGATTTTTGCAAGATACCGCTGGATGAACTTGTTGTTCCAACTCCAGACTTCCCCGTGCCTTCTCTGTATCTGCTGTCTGATAAGGAGGTAAGAGAGATCGTACAGCAGAGCCTTTCAGTCGGCAACTTTGCTGCCAGGCTTCTAGTAAGACTTTTTCCAGAGCTGTTTACTCCAGAGAATCTCAGACTGCAATATAACCATTCAGGTGCTTGTAACAAAAAACAGCTTGATCCCATTAGACTGAGACTGATCCGCCATTATGTTGAAGCTGTTTACCCCGTGGAGAAAATGGAAGAAGTATGGCATTATGAATGTATACCAAGCATTGATGAAAGATGCCGACGTCCCAACAGGAAAAAGTGTGATATACTGAAAAAAGCCAAGAAAGCAAAAAAGTGACAAGCCCTTTTAAATTCCCAAGACTTTGACCACTAAATTATTTGTGAGGAGCATGCTTTGCTTTAGACTGGGCAACTGTTCTCACAATGGGAGCTGAGGGCACTCAGCACCTGAAAGACTAGGCACTAAGATTGTCGCTTTTTAACTTGTGTGCTGCATATACAAGGGCACTGCAACAGTGGGAAGTGGTTAACTACATTTGTACATGGTGAAGACCATGAATCACCAGTGATAAAGCCATTAAGAGCACAACATTTTGGCTGGTACAAAACATGTATTAAAATTGCGTTATTCCACTCCCCACTTTTGCACCTTCCTTTTTATCGCTTTTTAATAATAAATCTTTTTTTTTTAATCATTGTGCTCTTCAGGGGCAGTTTTTCATTACACACTTGTACACGGTCAAAGTTAAATAATTTGGCATTTGGAATCTGAATTTTATTTAAACCTGCAAACTTTATAGTTTTTGAAAGTGCCATGTTCACTGAAAATTATTGGAACATCAAACTGTTTCTACAGTAATTACAGCTATGCCTTTTATTTTGTCCTTGCTGATATTGGGATACTGAAAGTAATACCACAGCATCAAAGAATGGGTCAAAATGGTTTAATGTCCTTTTTACTGTTACCCACATTTTATTTCCATTTGTTATAGGAACTGAGACTTAATCCCAGGCACTCAGCATAAATGTACATTTACATTTTGACCCTATGCCTGAATTTGTACCCTTACTCACATGATTTATTGCATTGCCTTCAAGGTGACTGCAGGCCTGAATAAGTTCTGCTTGTCCAAGTAAAGGGTGCAGAATAGAATCCAAATCTTCACCAGTAGAATGTGTTGCCATTGCTTGTTAGTCTCTTTGTTAGAAAAATACTTGAAGCAAGGAATGAAGGGAGACATCTTAGTCCTTATTCTTCACCAGAATCATGATTCCAAAGGTTTCCAGCATTAAATACTACACAAAGAAAGATTTGATTCTGTAATGGAATTAATTGCTGCAAGGTCCTCACCTGTGAGGTGTGTTGATTTAACCCACTGTTTGTAAATGCAGCACAGCCTGAATACTCCAAAGGTCATAGGGGTATTGAAATTCCTTCAATTATCCAAGCTTATTTAGTGTAATAAGTAGCTGTTTGGAGAGGTAATCTTGTATGTATAACTTAGGTTCAGAGGACTCAGATTGCATTGTATGTTCAAGTATAAACAAAACTATTTGAACTCCATTGTGATGTCACTAATTTTCAGAGAGTTCAGCATTAAAAACATAGCCTGATTTTTCTATTATTTATACTGATGAAAAGCAGAAGGAATTCCACTGCTAAAATGAAGAGAATCAAGCCTCCAGGTGGGTGTTAGTAAGGACAGTGATCACTTAAGACTGACCATCCCTAGAACACTTTGAGTTATTAGTTAATGTTCTTTGTGTTCCTCCTTTGGCATTTATCAAGATGGGTTATAGTATCAAATTAGAAGTAAGCCCCACTGTAAATTTATATTTTAGACTTTGTACAAAATACTTGATATTTTTACTTCAGATTTTTAGAATTTATTGTTCTTAGAATCATGTTGATACCTTTCTTTAATTTTTCCCCTAAAGGCAAAAGATAGCAAAGTTACATTATGTTAAAGCTACATTATGTAAGTCACACGAGCTAGTAGTGGTCACTCGTTTTTCCCATTGTGATAGCAGAATCCTCAAAGAATGTATGAAGAGAGTCTTGAATGTACTAAGTAATACCCTAATACTGTTAAAATTCACTTGTTTCTTCCTCTTGGCATAAATAATAGCAGACCATGCACAAAATGGATATCAGAGCAAATGTGGCTATAAATAAAATGAAAACATTTTACCAAAGATTATGAACTGATACCATGATGTCTGCATCTTACCTTTCAGATTAGTGCATATTTTTAGCAACTGAATGTATTGGAACCTTAAGGTTTTGGGTTTTTTTACAATTGTGTGTTAACTAGCACCTCTATGTGAACTTTCTACATGCACTTTTATGGGCTACATAAAATGTCATGAAAAGAATGAAGGTCTTTTTTAATTTACTGTTGAAAATGGCTTGCATTTACCCTGCAGCCCAAAAGGTAAGGGTTGTAATATGCAGATTCTCTTTATAATTTATTTGTACTTATTTTAATGTCACATTTGTTTCACTGATATATAATAGCAAACCCCACATAAGGATTCAGCATATCACACAGTTAGGAAAGAGAAGATGAGAACTGACAGATGTTTCTATCCAGTATGAAAATTGAAAATGTTTTGATATTCATTATACGTTACTAAGTTATTTCTTGTTAAGTCAGTCAGATGAAGCTATTCATATGATACACTAATAATTTAGGAATGGATTTTGTCCTTAAAACATTATCACCAAAAGTGAGCATGCAGCAAGAACCTGGTTGTATCTCCTTTTATATTACATACACTTTATACACTCCTCTAATCTGATTGTCCAAAATCCTTTTATGATCCATCTTACTTTCAAATAGCTGTTTTTTATAAATGATATTAAGTCAACACAAGCACATTTAAAACAACTGTTAGATTGACAAAGGAAACTTCTTTGAGGTGCAAATGCATCCAATTGGTCAGTTTTAAAAATGGAGTAATTATATGTATGAATTACTGTTATGAGAGAGTAAAGTTAGCTATGAACAATTACATGAATAGTAACTTCTTTTTTTGTTTAGTTTGTCTAAGATTTGTTACTAAATTCTGGAGTGTCATTTACCTGTTGAATAAATAAGCAGGGACAGCTTGATTTGCTGTAACTATTATGACATCCTCTCTCTTTTAGAATGTAACTTTAAAAGGAAAAACTGGCTGTTTTGAAAGTGAGGCAGTAATGAAGAAATTTCTAAGTATTAACTGAAAAAAACTCAAAACAAATGTAATCATACACACACTGACTTCATAATAGGTGAATATTATTTTACCTGTCAGGTCAACAAATCCTGTTCAGGAGAATATTAAGTATCGCTGCTTACTTATTGTAACTGAAACATTTCATTGTGGTAAGGACTGAATAATTCACTCTCCTATGAAGACCCTCAAGGAAACAGCATAACATTTCTTGGCTCTATTCGCCAGAGTGGTGGTGCCAGGTTTTTCCCAATACAAGAGAATATGGAACTGCTTTTAGCATCTCACCCATTTCACACAAATGAAAACTCAGGAGCTTTGCAAGAACTTTTAATGTGTATCATCTTTTGTGAAATTTAAAGGGGAAGTTAGAGCTATCTAGCAGCCATCTTTAGCAGGGAAAGTCAAACAGCATCTTACTTTCAAAAGTGAAAAATAACCCTTGTTTGAAATGATTGCATTTGGTTACTATTATGGGTCAGCTGTAACCCTAATCAACTTGTTACAATTTTGTACTTTTCAGTAATAAAAACTACTTTCTCTTGCTTCTTAGCAAAATAGAACTACTTCTAAATACTTTACTGTTTTTAAAATGCACATAGGTTATGTAGCAGGGGTTTAGGTTGTAGTCGTGTTGGTCTAAGGACATAGGCAGACAAGGTTCCTTGGGTGAATTTGATATCTTTTATTAGACCAACCCAAATAGTTGGAGAATATTTATTAAGCAAGCTTTCGGGTTCAAAAACCCTTCGTCAGGCTAAGGAAGTTTCAGCAGTTGGTGTGCATAGATTGTGTATACATTTTCTCTTTGGGTGCATTTTTTTAAATTCAGCCAAAGCTGTGTTATTGTTTAAATATTTATGTGACAAAGGCACTAGAGGCCCCGCTGAGGATCAGGGACTGTTGTAGTCAGCATTTTGCACGTATGCATGAAGGCCCATGAAATCTTAACTCCACATAGAAAATGGCTAGTATTTACTCTTCAGGTCAAAGGGCAAGGAATGTAACATACAGGTTTTCTTTATAATTTACTTTTACTTATTTTAATATCACAGTTGTTTCACCAATTAACACTGTTAAATCTTGCTGAAAATTTCAACACATCTTAGACTTGCCTGTTAAAAAACAGGGGTAAGTTGATGGGTGTTTCTACCTAACATGTACATTTAAGAGATGACTGCGCAGATGATTTTATAATTAGAGGGGGTGGGCGGGGAATGAGGATAGTTTAAACTTGACTTTTGGAGTAAGCTGCTGACATTTTAGAGCTGCTATTGACATGAATTATGCTTTGTTTGGAAGCTTCACTAAATTTGGAAGGAGAGAGATACTTTTATTGTTGTCACTCAGGTTACTATTAATGCAATTATTATTTCTCTTACGAATAATCTAAGGGTACTTTTGAATATATTTTACACCACCTAAATTGGAAGATGTGAAACCCTATTTTTGCTCCCCTCCCTAAGTCAGTTCTTTCATTGCATTATTAATATTCTTATTTTTTATAGAACAAATTATTCTGATTGCAGAATACCATATTTATTCAAATAAAAGATGACCCTGATTACAAGATGACCCTCCCCCAATAATTAGATTCGATATCTGGAAAATGTATAAATGTGTTACCGTTTTCCAGATATAGAATCTAATTATTGGAGATTTGCCTTGAATTTGTCCCCTTTTCACTGCTACAGCAGGGAAAATATATGTGGGGGGTCAGGTAGCCCCTTAGCTCTCTGCTTGCCCCCAAATTTTCCCCTGGCAGCCTCTTCCCCTCTCCTTACTGTCAGACCCTGTTCCCCCCGAGCACATGGACATGAGGAGCAAATTTGAAAACAAGAACCTTGAAATTAAAAATGCTGTAGAAATGTGCATATAGTACCCATGCACTTAGTTTATCCAGAACTTATGCATGTTCAAAGCTTTCATAAATTTCATAGACATTAGGGCTGGAAGGGACCTTGCAAGATCATCAGGTCCAGCCGCCTGCCCAAGGGGAAGGAAATCAGCTGTGGTCAGATCACCCCAGCAAGATAGGCATCCAAGCATTTCTTAAAGGTATCCAGAGTAGGTGCTTGCACCACTTCTGGGGGGAGTCTATTCCAGACTCTGGAGCCTCGGACACTAAAGTTTATCCTTATGTCCAGGTGCTTTTGCTCAGGTTGAGCTTGGCTCCTGCCACTGCTCCATACACCTGGGCATGTTGCAGCACCTTTTCCACTGGCCACTTGTCCCTGCACAGGATGTTGAGGTTGTCCATGTAAGCCAGGACTCTTGTCTCTGCCCCACTGCCCCCAGGGATCTCCACTCTGTGGATCCCAGGGTCTTGCCTGAGCCATTCGGCCATGGTTCCATCATGCAGATGAAGAGGATCAGAAAGACCAGGCATCCCTGCCAGATGCCCAACTCCACCATGATTGGGGCAGTTTGGAAACCTGTTCACCAGCACCCTGCTGCTCATGTTCATGTTCAGTGCTTTTATCCATGCAACAAAGGTTGGGGGGACCCCCATCTTCAGTGTTTTTAACAGAAATCAGTGGGACACTGAATGCCTTTTCTGGGCTGAGGCTTAGCATGGCAACATCCAACCCCCTCTCCAATTGGTACCACAACGCATCTTGCAGTTGCAGCGGGGCTCCCCCGGGTGTGCCATGTATAGCTCTCAGTAAAAGGCTGCTGCTGCCTCCAGCATCCCTTCATTTGACTTGTGGCTCTATCCACCAAGCTGGTCATGGCCTTCCTGGTCGTCTTTAACCTGCCAAAGCAAGCACTCCTCCCCCTCCTCACCTCCTACCCAGGGAGCCCAAGCCAGGAAGATCTTCATGGCCTGTTCCCTGTACCAGGCCCCAATCTGAGCTCTCACCTCCCACATGGCCTCCCTCACATCCCAAACCCAAGTTGCCTGCTTATGCATGCTCTGCAACTTGTCATTTAAGTGTTTGTGTTGCATCCTCTGGACCCAGCCTTGGCTCCTGCCAGCTTGCTGGAAGAAATCTTTTTTCTTTTATGCTGGCTCACCACTCCATGTGGTTCTGGTACCAGGCTCTGAGGGTTCTCCACCCTGTGTAGCGCTGCCTGAAATCCTGCTGAGTTTTTTTCAACATCCAGGAGGCTCACATTCAAGTTCCATATGTCCCTGCGTCTTTCAGGGTGCACCCCATCTCTGCCTTCACTGCCAGGAGGCAGTGGTCCAAGAAACATGTGGATTTGGCTTTCGCTACTGACTGTGCTTCAGGGAGGAAGATGAAGTCTATGCATGACTTTATTTGTCCTATGGGATCCACCTGAGTGAAGTCACCCCCCAGGTCCTTGGGCTCGTTTGCCTGCATCCACCAGCCTGTGATCAAAGATCAGTTGTTTTGCAGCCTGGAGGATCTGCCCAGGCCTGTTTGGCCTCTGCCTATTCTGTCACCCGCGTTGATGATGCAGTTGGAAGTCTCCTGTGGTCATCACTGGCCAGGTACTGAGCATTGCCAAACTCACATTTTCTAGGAAGGTATACCTTGCTTCCCTTTTAGCTGCTGCATAAACATTTAGGAGGGCTGATTTCCTTCCCTCTGTTTCAAGGGTGGCTTACAGAAGCCTGCCTGCAATAATTTCTGTGCTGTAGGTAGTGCACTCTGTCTCATTTCAGGAGAACTGCAACACGTGCTGCTCTATTGTCATTGATCTGCCCCACATGGAGAAACCATGCCGCCAGTGTCTTTTCAACAAAGCAGTTTTTAGAGCTGGGCAAATCACATTCCTGGTGCCACATAATGTGGACTTGTAGTTGCCCTAGGCTCTGTTCTATTGTGTCCCTTTTTTTTTTCTTTAGCAGGCTTCTTGCATTTAGTTAGACAGTTAGTATCCCCACAATGAAAGCAGTGAGAGGGGGCAGTGAAAGCCATTATTTTTTCATTTCTTCATGTGTTTAGCGTCTTTGTTCAGGTTCAGGCTTTTTCTTGCCTTGCAGGGCCACCTGGTGGGCCAGATCTTTTTTCTCTGTGGTTTTAGGGGACACCTGGGTCTTCCTCCTGTGCTTCTGCTGCTGTGTCCAGCCATCTTGATCTGTCTCTGGGCTCCCAGAGGGGTTCTCGTTTTCCTTGGAAATCTATTTCTGAGCTGGATTCCCCTCCAGCTTGAGTTTTTTCCAGGCTCCTTTCTGGGGTGCCTAGGTTCACCTCCTCCATCTGTTCCCTTCACAACTATTCAGTGTCTTTGTTTAGCTTCTTGAGGGAGCATTCATAAACTGGGGGTGGGGCAGCTCAGCTTTAGCTCCTTTCCCTCTTTTTCTTGGTATCCCTCCCCTGCTCTATTCTCCTCCATTTCCACTAACTCCCCATTCTCTGTTGCTGCCTGGGGAGGCTGGGCCATGGAGTTCCTGCAGTCCCTTGTTTTTCCCTGTTTGCTTAGGGCTGAGAGCAGTCTCTAAAAATATGCCCCTCATCCCCATACAGAATGCAGTGCCAGTTCTGCTCACAGTCCTTGGCTTCATGTCCTTTCTTCTTGTACAACACAAATTTTAGTTGTGCATTGTGCCACCACATGTCCCTGCTCCCCACATTTATGGCAGAGTTTGGACTGCCCCTGGTAGAAGCCCCTGTGGGGTCCCAGGGAGATTGCTGGGGGGAGATGCTGCACCCTGCCTGGATTCCCAGGCCCGCTTTTCAGCATTACCTTGGTTTTCCAGGCTCCAGTCCATATCCCAGACTTGTCTAGGGCTTTCTCCACTTTATTTTCTCACAGCGTATTCTGAGCCAAAAACTCACATCCTCTTCCTTTATTTGGGCTGAATACATTTGGATTGTAATCAGCCTCTCTTCTCATACCTCCCCCTACAAAAACAATTGCCTTCAGCTGGGGATTTCCTCTGGCCACCTCCACCTGTTGCCAGAAATCTGATCTCACCTTGGGATATCTGAAGCCCAATTCAAATTCTGCCCCACCTGGCCTGCAAAACAGGTAATGCACATTTTTCAGAGCAGGTCTTACATAATCTTGACTAAGTAGTTATCTCTCTCCAGAACCTGCTTTCCTTGTTTCAAGTGTCCATTCTTCACCAGGCCCTTCACTAAGAAGCCTCTTCCATTCGCCTTCATGTTTGGGGGAGTCCCACACCCAGGCTCCAGTGACAGGTTTTGGGGTTGTTGGGTAGATTTAAGTTTATTAGTGAATGTTAAAAGGGAAGGTACAAAATTGAAATGATAGAAGGAGATACCGAGATCTAAACAAGGGTGGTTACATAGTACAGGGTACAATAGATGGGTTGGGGGAGGATGCAACTAACTTGCATAGTAGCCCAGGAGTGAGTGAGGGATAGGGGAGCAACAAGAAGAAAAGATACAAAATGCCTGGTGCAAGGAAACTGCATCATTAGAGTGGTGGGTTCTAAGGGATATACACAGATACAAATAACAGCATGTGGGGTACATCTGCAGGGATGAGGAAAGTCCAGGTATAAGAGTTCTCAGCCATGATCCACTGGAAGCGGCAGTCAGGCACTCCCCTCTGTGTTGCTTCTGGCCAGTGGTCTGTTGGGGTACACATACTGGTGCTCGCCCGTGACATGCTGGATGTACATGTCTCTGGACCATCTGATGGTGTCAGACACCATTAGGCAGGCCCTCTCAGAGGTCAAGAGAGGCCTGGGCCACTTCCATTTTTTGAGGCTCAAAATACAATGCATTAATTTGTAATAAATGTTCCTTTTTTATTTAACAAGTGCTTTTCTAGCTTTTTTCTTCTTCTTTCAATCCTGTCAGTGGATCTCTCTGTCTGTATGTATGACCTCACTTGGAGATAACATCAAAAGTCTAAATTTGAGGCCCTCCGTGAATGAGAGGCCCGGGCCAAATGGCCTTCCTAGCCCCCCTGTGACAGGCCCTGCCATTAGGCACCTCATCAGTTTGGTGTAGCGGTAGGATATTCAGGTGTGCAGGATGCTCTTGTTGCTGCAGTCCCATGCTCTCAGCACCCTGATGATCAGTGCCTCAACCATCACCTCGTATCCCTAGCTTCTCAGGGCATATGCCAGCAGCCGGTACTTTGTCAGCTTCCGCTCCCAGGCTTCAAAGAAAGCTTGGTGCCAGTTCCCAAACAGGATGGTAATATCGACCATCATGATACTCTTTGGTCATAATAGATCTTGCAGCCTGGGATGGTGCAACTGACAGACATGGTCCCCGCTGGAGCTGAAATAGCCTTCACCAGCCAGTCCCGGATGGCACTATGGCAGAACTGCCACACTCTGGTGTGGGGTTTGCAGGTGCAAAGCTTGTGGGGCAGGGTCTCTGATTCATAGTCATATCTTTGGCACCTCGTCATAGTTCCTGACCGGATGGCACCGCTGAGTAGCAGACAATTGAGTTGGGCATGGTGGATAAAGCTCCAGTCTGCGAAATGCGTGATATTCCCAAGCATGAAGCCAAAAAAATGAGAAGCAATTGTACTAATACATAGCACAAGCTATACACAGTATTAGTCTAAAACCAAAGGTTTGTGATTTACCATGTAGTTCGTTGGGCTGGGCCCTACCAGAATCAACAGAATTTCAAGCTACAGTTCAGCACTGCTCAGTACGTGCGTGTACTCCAGATACCTCCCCCCCACACACACACACATAAAGGATTCCTGTACTAGTTAGCCCCCACTCATGACTGGAACCAGGTGTTCTTGTCACATATTTTGAGATGCTCCAAAAAATTATATGCAGATGAGGTGCTGGGCAACCTGGTTTGGCTTTTACCTTATGAAGGGTGGGGCACATTAATCTTAGTTAATTAATTAGGCTGAGGGGGAAGCAGAGGGATTTTGAGTGAACTGCATGCAATGTTGTGGTTCACCATGATTTGAAAAAAGTTGGTGAGAAGAACTGAGTGCAATAGGCCCTACCACATTTTATTCAGATGGGCTACACTAACATATTCTTATGGTAATTTCCCATCAATTTTGTGGTAATTGATAGGGGGACTGCTTTTGCATCTATCTCCTAGCTGCTCCTCGGCCTTTTGGAACAAGCACAACTAGGGAGCATATGAATTCCAAGATGTTGGGGCCTGGACCTTGCCACTCAAAAAACCCCAGGTCTTACCAGCATATTTACCCAGTATGAGCCATGTGTTTTATAGTCATGCTCAGTGTTGGCTGTATTTCATAGATTTCATAGACATTAGGGCTGGAAGGGACCTTGCAAGATCATTTAATAAACTTCAAAGCTAGTTTCCAGAGCACATGCTGCTTTCAGCAGTTTAATGATAGACAGTGTATTTAGTAAGATTTCTTTGTATGCAGTTATCAGGGGCTTTTTCCCTCATGCCAATTGGGACAAAAAAACCTCATCTTGTATTTGAGTAAATATGGTACTAGTAACTACAGTTGTCTATAGATACCTAGTTGCCTCTTCCTCAAGTGAACTGTCCTTGAACTACCATATCTGTTTAGCAACTCAGAGAGAGAAGAAAGAGCAAACTAAAGCAAAAGGAAAGCCAAGTTCCATAGCATTCCAAGGACTGGCTTTTTTTCCATTTTCACCTTAATTGGTTGTTAAAACTCTCCCATGATACTCAGTTTTATCCTTGGTCTGTCTTTTCCTTCATCTCTGTCATCATCGATGCTCCCAGACCTGCTTGCTAAGTCCTTTAAGGCTTGACTTCTTGCCACACGAAAAAAACCTTCTGTTTATTCAGTTTCCTTCCCTGTCTCAGAACACATGTAGGAATTGTTTTCTGTTAGCAACAGATCTGAAAGGGACCAGTATTGTTCAGGTAAAAGCAGCAGTCTCTTTGAAAGCCCTCTAAAGTAGAGCTGATTTAAATGACTTCCTTCCCCTTTGAAAAAACATCCATGAAGACTTTTGAAATATTTCATTGAAACATCTACATTTTTTCAGATTTTCATTTAAAAAAAATGAGGCTTGGTCAGGTGAACATTTTGTATAAAAATATTTCCCAACCAAATGAAATCTGTGCATCAGTTACTGAAACCTAACTATTTTAAAAGTTTGACAGCCTGACATTATTTAAAAAGGCAAAACATTTGTTAAAATGGCCATTTTCTGTTAAAGGAAAAATGTGCTACGCAGAATTATTTTATACTGGCTTGGTATTTGGTTTTGGCAGTTTTCCTGAGCAATCTTCTTTTTCAAGTGACAGGTCTTGAAATGCCTTTTGTCCATGAACTTTCAAAGGTGGCACCAGTTCAATTAAGTGAAACTACTGGCGCTCAAACTGTTCCATCATCAAAGTGGAAGAGATATACTTGTTAGGTCAGGATCAAACTTCAAATTTCCCTTCTCATCTCTTTTAATATGTCATTGAGTCAAAGCATCTATTCCAGTTCTAAATTGTGGTCTTTAATAGCTTTAAAAAATATTTTTTTCCAGTTGTAATACAGGGGTGGGCAACCCCTGGCATGGATGCCAGAGCATGGCGCACACAGGCATTTTGCTTGGAATGTGCACCTTGAGGCAGAGGGTGGAGAAGGAGCTGGAGCTGCGTTGCCACAAGATTGGGCCCTTCATGGCTCCCCTACTGTCCACCCCTAGCACAATAACATCACGCAATTTCAGGTTGCAGGTGTTTTTGGCACTCTGCCCAAAAACATTGCTGACCTCTGTTGTAATACCTTACCTTGAGCTTTTAAGAAACCTGAATTTTAGAGGAGGGAGCTCAGCACTTCTGACAAATCAGTTCTCATCTCTTCTCCTGATGGTATTGCTAGATTTAAAAACCTTGGCTTCCATGTCAGTGGCTACCCATTGCTTATTAGGGCTGTCTGTTCTAAAGGAGAGCTAACAGCAAGTTCTTCTGAGACCTGCCAGTGAGTTCTCAAAAGAATCTTTGCATCTCATTTTTAATTAGTGTATCTTAGCTATTAAGGATTTAATAATTTCTTTTACACTGGGTACATTTCTCTGTCTCTGCATTTGGATGCCTGTGAATAAAGTTTGCTTACTTGATGCAGGCCCTTCTGCTTTTCTGACTGCTTACAGTACTGAAATTAAGAGCTTCCTTTTTTTTCTGCCACCAGGCGGTCTTAAGAATCTTGTGGGAGAATTTCTGAAGGCCTTCTTTTACCTTCAAGTCACTCTAGAGCCAGACTTCAAACATCACTTCAGACATCTAAAGCTTGAGAGTCATCTGTTGGGGTTTGCAAAAAAAATTGTTCCATGATTGTTAGGTACATAGATACTTGTGGAACTTCTTATAGCTATTTATCTGAATCTTTTGGTGCATATCTTTTAAAAACAAAAGGTGCCTATACACATGCTCATTCACATTCTATTTAGAATGCATCAGATTAACACGTCGAATAATCAAGTCAGCTCTACTTTCTAATCAGAATGCTCCACGTTACCTCATCATCATAAGTATTAAGCCCCCACCCATTTTAAAATGGTAGTGGGGATACTTTGTTGAAGTTTAGATAAAGCATCCTGCAAACATTTTTTAATGTGCAGGGGCTTAATACACGTGATGGTGAGACATTTTAAGCACAGCAGCTGGCTGTGAGCTGCTCCAATTAAAATGCCCCCACCCCGGGCATGTGTATAGGCATGCCAAAAAGCTGGTCCTTGGGGTATGCTTATACTTGTCTCCCCAGCAGTCCCTAGACCACTTTAAGAAACAGGCCCTGCCTATTCATTCTATCTTTGCATACATGGCATGTGGTGTGGTCTCCTTTGGTGTAGAGTCAAAAAGCAACTATGGGCATTCACGTTTCAAAAGGGAAGCTGCTGCTGCTGCTTGGGAGCCTGCAGTAGCTGTTAGCAGTTAGAGTATGCGTGCATGAGCCTGTAGCAATACAAGTTAGCTAAATCACCCCAACTTTAACCCTGGATGAAGCTGGCTTAAAGTTATAGCAATGTTACTTCACTTGTATCAGGACATGCAAAAGTAATCATTACAGCATAACAGCTACTGCCTAATCCAGAGCAGCAGCAGCAGCTCCCTTGGCCCTTTTGAAATGCTCCAAGTGAAGGTTTGTCCATGCTCCAAAGTGACTTTTTGGCCAGTACCACATGCACAGCAAGAATAAAGGAGTTGGGGGGCTTCTTTCTCAGTGGTGGTCTTTGGCTTGCCACAGAGGCATCAGACATAAGCTTAGTCACAGTTCCATTTTGGACCAACTTTTTTTGAATAAAGCTGTTACCACACTTTTAAGGTTATTAATTACACCAGGACACTAAGCCATAAAGTAGATGACTTAAGTGAAATAAAAGGTGGTGTTGGGAAAGGTGAGGACTAGGTTTCTGAGTAATTATGTACCTGTATTGACAGAATCACAAAAAAATCCTATAAAAAATAAAGAAAAAATGGATAAGCCAATCACTAGATGTTAACACTGAGAGGCCCAAATCTTGCAATCACTGCATCATGGACTAAGCACTGTGAGATTTCATTCAAAATTTAAGGATAAGGGAGAAACTTTAATTACCATTTTTCATTTTCTACATAAAACTAAGTATGATAAGTGTGTTGCCTTATATAAAAATATGCCAAAATGCTGTTCTAAAACTCATACAAAAGATCATCTATCCCAGTGGTTCTCAACAGGCAAGATCCTTTCAAGGGTGCCACAGTGCTAGTGCCACTACTACTACTACTGCAGCCAGGTGAAATGGCCCCATGCACCTTGTGCAGGGTCTGACTGGGAAGCGCCTGCTCCTACTGCAGCTGAAGGAAGAGTTGAGAACTAGTGGTCTACCCTTTTGCAGGTAGGGAACATTGTATAATCACCAGTCATGACATGAGGGAGTCTTTCCACCTCCATTCATTCCTTGCCACTACGAAGAAATGGGGGGGCCGGACTCGATCTCATGAGGTCCCTTCTAGCCCCTAATGTCTATGAAGTGAAGAAATTGACTAACTGGCCAATAGGAATAACAAACAGGGTTTGCAGAATCAACTGATATGCTATCAGATGGTGGTGCCTGTCACTACTGAGGTAGGTCAGATACAAACTGGTAACCATAAAGAGAAGCCATTTGAGTCATCCTGTCTTTCTCCTTCAAAAACTGTTTCATGATCCTGAAGTGGGATGATCAAGACATGACGGCAAAAAACCTAAAAACTCTTTAAGTAAAGGCTTGGAGCCAGGATTTCCCCTTCATTTATTCTGAAGCCACCCTTAATCTTAATGTCTCTGATTTTGCTCATCAAAATTACTACAACAGTTAAACAGTTAGGTATACTCACTCTTTATTCATCCATCATATATAGATACCATCTTTAGGTGAACCACCTGGAAATTAAACGTTTTCCACAATACCATAAAAAAAAATGAACAGAACAGACTGAACTGACAAACTGTCACAGGACCAACAGTGATGTATGTGGCAAGGATGGTAATATTTTATCACAAACCCTTAAGAAAAGGTACCACAATTTTCTTTAACCAAAATTCATGTTTAGCTACAATGATACAATTCCATAAGAAGTCTCATGCTGCCACATGCAAACCCTTGTTACTTAAGTACATCCTGTTTGGGGACTTTTAAGCGTCTCCAGCGCCTCAAAAGCACTTTGTATTTTTCGTTTCCAGTCTTTTCTGATACTTTTCTTAAGACAACTCGTGTAACTACCATGGCTTCTGTTTCTTTGTCCTCACCTAGTAGGAGATCTAGTGTGTCACCAGCTTTCACCTGAAAACAGAAAGAGAGGTCATTAACATGGGGCGGGGGGAAGTTTCCCAAGTATACATGCAATTTTAATTCTCCTCTTTTCCCGAGCTATTATTCTTGTTGTCTTTTGTGGGAGGTGGTAGGATGATTGTATATGCCATATTCTATACTGTAGGCCTTCAAATGAGCAATATAAGTGCTTCCCCTCACAACTCCCTGCACAAAAGATGCATTGGGATTTATACTTAATTCCTTCTGAAAAGGCATGTGGATCTTTTCATTCCTTTTGTAGGGCAGAGGTAATCAAATGATTAATTTATGCAAAATGCTTCAGACAACTTCAATGAATAGCTAAGATACAGAGATAATAGCATACAAAAGAATGAGGCAAAAGGAAACTATTTCTCATTCTAAGAAGTTGTTCATATCAATGTTTCTCAACCTGTGGGTCGCAAGAATATATGAAAGGGTTGTGAACAAACTTTAAAAATGGATTCTCCTTTAAAGGAGAAAAACATGGGAAACCGTGGCTTTTCCCATGCAGGCTAGCTGAGTTCCAGCCTATAAGGGGCTATTTAGGCCCCCCACTGCCCCACACATAGGGGCAGCAGGTCAGGAGTGAGGGGTGCTGGGTCAGGACTGGCCACTGATGTTTACAAATGGGTCCTGGTACAAAAAACATTGAGAACCTCTGGTCTACATGTTATAAGTGAACACACTGTTATGATCAACTACTTAGGCTTCCTTTGAAATTTACAAGAAATGACTAAAATGTCATAGTAACTAGACTTGAGTTTTGAAATTGGAAACCAATGTTATTCCTCCTTTTCCCATCATACAGCAATAACTTTGGCTACTACGATGTTCCACACACACTGTGGTTTAGAAATATTCTTTTTATTTATTTATTTTTGCTAATGAGAATCTCTGGTTCTCCAATAAATGACAACTTCTCTCCATCATGAAGGAATACCACTAACCAGTTCTTAACTTGCTATTCTGATGGTGCTTTCTTTAAATACATACTTCTCATTTCTATTATCAGATACAGCTGTAGCAGTCTCCTATTTGGATTATCCCTTCAGCCATTTCAAAACAAAGATGCCAAAATAATCTTTGATCCAATCATACTTCCTTCCCCGTGACCCGCATACCTAGCCTAAAACTTTTTGTCTGCTCCAAAGCTCTGCCTTTAATTCCACTATTTCTATTACCACTAAGGTGCAAATTTACCCTGCCTTCTACTTGATTTCAGACTGACTATGTCTCTCCCCTACCACTCCCAGCCATGGCTTCTATGCTTATATGCTATCCAATTCTGCTGACTTTGTCCTGCTCTTCCCTTCTGCTTGAAACAACCCTCCTGTTAATTTATTATGTAACTTCCCTTACTGTACATTTACTATGTACATTTACTATGTAACTTCCCTCTCTACTCCTTCAAACACCTCTATTTCAGGTAACCTTCCAAAAAAACCCTCCACCGCCTGCCCATTTTTCCAAAGGGAAAAGAGCAAGCTGTATTATTCAGTTAATTGCTACTACCTCTGTTTAATGGGAAGGCTGCACATACAATCACTTTAGATCCTTCCAGATAAAACAGGCAGCTCCTGATATCTGGGTAGCTGATCATCTTTTCAAGTCTCCATTATTTACCTACTGTCATGTTTTATTTTAGCCCGAGTGATTGACATTCACACTGTTTTAAAAGACATTTATAATCCCTGTATCCTGTAATGCATGCAAAAAAGTAGGAAGGAGCATGGAGTATCAGCATTAGTTACAATCTTATTAGTTTAAAGAATTTTATATTAAAATGAAACCTTACAGTTCTGCTTTTTTTCCACAATTTTTCTCCATTCAACCTGAGTTCATTCCTGTAGAATGCATCTTCCACTTTGCTAAAAGAAAAAAAAAGCCCAGCAAAATAAAACAATCCTTGTGAAGCAATCAAGTGCAAGTCTTTATAGAAAAGCAATAATGCAGTTCCCCTGCAAAGCATGCTCAACAGGAAATTGGACACAAAGCATATACTTATTACTGTCAGGGTTACTTAAGGATTGACTTAAACTGGAAGGCAAAAATATTTTCAGTGTGGCTCTAGGGAATGCTTAGGAGTATTTATAAAGGCTGGTGTCTGCACACCTAACAAAAATGTCTCTTGCATGCAATCAGTTTTAACCATCAATTTTTATTTAGAGCTTTTTCATCGTCACACTAGCATATTGTTGCAAACTAGCTTGCTAAATAGTCTATAAAGGTCATATAAAATGTACATTACTATGGATTTATTATACAATTTATGTATATTTGGTAGTGCTAGTACATCAGATTTACATTTATTGTAGAACTGGGTTGAAATTTTTCATCTAGCAGTTTGAGGGGAGTATTTTTTTTGCATTTCAGTCAACAACCAGAAACCTTTCTTCCCATTAGTGAAATACTTAAGCTTGTCTTTTTAAAAAAATGGGGAAAAGTATGACTGATTGCTAAAGAAAAATCACAGTGTCTCCTTGAGCACGAAGTGATAAGTTCGTAACATTCTGCAAAATGCAAATGTTTCAAATAAATAAATTTAGAAGTACATTTTTAAAAAGACAAATGTAGGCATTGAAGTTAAAAAAATCTTCCTTGCTATCCAAACCCCAGTTAACTCTTTCACTTAATAATGTCATCAATAAATTACATAAAGTCATACTTACTTTCTTGCAACGTCTAGACCAGCTTTCATTATAATATCATACCGAAGACATGACACTACTTTTTCAAGGTCCTTGTGATTTTTTTCTATAGTGACATCATCTTCAAATTCCTCTTCTGAATCACTTTTCCCTTCATCTTCATCCTCTTCATCTTCATCCTCCTCCTCCTCTTGTTGCATAGTTTGTTTCTTTTTCCCAGAGCTTGAATTACTTTTAGATCGTACAGAAAGCAACGATGTACATTCTAGAGAAGGTCTTATAAATGCATAAAGTTTCACAGGAGAAATGCTGAAATACTTTTTGTAGTTTATTGTAGCCAGTTGTTGACCAGAGGAGATGTATCTCTTCCAGGAGGTACATAATTTATTAGAAGGGAATTTCTCGCAGAGTGCAAGCCAGACATTTAGCTTTCTAACCGCAGTAATAGGCAGTCTGAAGCCAGTCATAGCATACCCTGAAACAAAGGCGCAGATTGTTTTGTTTTCATTATAGAAAAAAATCGCTCAAGCAAGTGACTATTAAAATTAGCGCTTTTTTCCTTGTTGTAAAAAGAATCTAGATTTTCATACAGCAATAACAATGCATAGCATCTTATTACTGAAAGTTCATCTTATGCTTATACAGTAGTTTAAGTAGTTTCCTAGTTCTGTTATAAACAGCACTGTCATCCTGAAAACTGACAAGAGTCCAGTGCCAGCCTCTGTCCCAGTAATTCTCAATCAGGGTGCCTTGAGACGCTTTCACGGGTGCCATAGGCAGTGTTCCCTCTAAGCTGCACGCATGTGCGGCAATGCACAATAAAAAATCATGCCATGCAACAACAGCAGACCCGCGCATTGTGTCCACCCCTGCTATATATGTATCCTCTCATAGTGGAAGTCATCATCCACAACAACACTAACAACACTCTTTTTGCACACAGTGATGAGTAAATCGTTCCTAAAATAAAGTTTCAACATGTGAAAATGGAGTAGTAATGTGCCAATAATCAGAAAGTCAGAAATTCTGGGGGGGGATCCTTGTGGGATGGCATGAATTCTGGTTTCTACTGTAATCCTGCATTTCCATGTGCTTGCCTTGGCCTCAGCCTTTGTAGGCTTTAGTTTCTATGGTTTTTTCCCTCTCCCCAAGTGAATTTGGAGGAAATAAGTAAAATGATTTTATCAGTTTCAGCACTGGTGGGAGGTGGGGGTGGATATCTTTCATATCCCCTCTACAGATATGGTCCTGGTTTGAAGTCTGGCAGGGCCATGGTGCTTACAAAGGCTTTAGCACTTCAGGGTGTGGAGGGCACTAAAATGAAAGGTTTCTTGCACACCGAACCGGGTAAAAGGTAACACCTCTGCTCCCTCTCACTAGGGGGGACTGGCCTGGAGGGGAAACAGTGGGGCAGCTGCCAGAAGAGGAGATGGTGAGGGGCAGCGGGAAGGCCTGAACCAAGGGAAGGCGGCCCAGGCCGGAGGGGTGTGAGGAGACAAGGAATAGCTGACGTCTGATTCAAGGAAAAGCCGGCGGTTGATGGGGGGGGGGGTCCGGTCTGGCCACGAGCCTGAGAAGGAGGGGGTCGTGGTGACGTCACAAAGCCGGACACTGTCCAACCAAAATGCTGTGGGCGCGGGCCCCTGCCCCGCGTGCTATGGCCCTGGCGTCATCAAAGGCCAACCGCCGCGGCGCATGTGCAGTGGCCTCCCGCCGCGTTCGGGAGCGCCGTTACCCGCGTCCGCCGGCGCCTCAGCCCCGGCCTATCCGTCCTCTTCCCCAGCAGCCGCGCGGAGGGCGGAGCGCTGCCCCTCACGCCCCCTGCTGGCCGGCGGACCGTGCCCCTCGCACCCCCTCCTGAGCCCGGCGCCAGACCCCTCCCTGCGCGGGGGTGGGGGTGCGGGTGGGGGTGGGGAACTGTGACGTAGCTTGAAACAAACAGGCCGTTACTCGGTCCCTCGGTCCGGCCGGCTGGTGTCGCGAGGTGTGCATGCGCCAACCACCAAGTTCCTTCCGGCCCCTCCCCCGCCTGTAATCCTTTAACGCATCAGTCCCTCCTGCTTTGTGAACTCTCTGTTTTAGACCAATGGAAATGTCCTTCTGCGTGACGTAGCGTTAACCCCCACTGGGGTTCCAGCTCCCGCGCCCTTCTGTCGGCTCCTACAGCGGGTTCCCCCGGAACACAGAGGACCGGACGTCCCGCCCGGAGATCGCTCTAGTCTTGGCAGAGGGCGGCTATGACGTCATCACAAGAACCCCTGCCGCTCAGGCTCGTGGTCAGGGCGCACCGAGGGCGCCTCCCCCCAGCCTCTGGCGCCCTAATTATTTCCCCCTCGGCTGGATGTGGGGTCAGCACTTCACACCCGGGCAGCAAGTCTCAACCCAGTGCCACCTTGGGCCTTCAAGGGTGTTACGCTGCCTTAGCGCTGTTAAACCCTACCATGTGCTAAAGTGAAAGCTAAGCAGAAACCAGCTATGCAGCTGTTACCTGTTTTTCAAGCACTAACTTCGAGGTTGGTAGGCTCTTTCTGGAGCCAGGTGGATGCTCTTCTGGCCCAATGGTAACTTTGCACAGGTGGACAGTCTGCATTTATTGCGTGGTTCACCAGTGGGTTGCCACAGGGGCCTGAGGTGCGCAGACTTGATTCACATGATAAAGCCAATGATTTCAAACAGGAATCCACAGCTGTGGCCTTTGCAACAGTACAAACTGCTCTATTGTTTTTCTTTTTCACTCTTATTTTTTGACTAAGCGTGGCATTTGCCAAGGGCTGCCCTGAGTCTATCCAGGGGTGTCTTGAGTCTAAACAGGTTGAGAACCACTGACCTAGGTTAAGCAGATGTCAAATACAACCATGGGAGAGTCGCAGCCTTTTGCCCTTGCGGGAATCAGTATGGACGCTACAGGGCAACAGCAGTTCTAGCTCTTTGCCATGGACAAGCCTCGCCAACCCTGTCCTTTAATATGCCCTTCACCCTAGCTGGCAGCCTGAGCTCTTCAGTCCTGCTAGCTTCTACCTGCTCCCGGATCATTTATGCCTCATAAACATCAGGTTTTATGCTCATGGGGCAAAAACACTTTGCTGCTGAGTTTGCAAATTATCACGTTCACCTACGCATACACTCATCGAGGCTGCATTGCACTCCCCATATTTTGTACTTCAAGGTACAGAGAGCTATGTGGGCAAGATTTAAGGGGCCACATGCCCTATAAATGTCTAGATTCCATTTGGCCGCTTTAGGCTCCCTGGAGCAGAAGATTCCCTGGCAGCAGTAGTGTCACAGCACAAACCGTGAACAACGTACTATGCTACTGAAGAGTCGGAAGGCAGCTGAGAGTGCAGAGGACTCAACAGTGTACCTGGGATGCATGCACATTCAGTGCACCTCTTAGGTATGTTCATACAAACAGCAAGTATCTTTGTCCTTCACTTCAGTTTCCGTATCTGCCAATGTGACCATCCAAGCCCTGAATGTGTCTAGCACTTCACTTCCCTACTAGTGAGTCCCACTGGTTTGTTGTAAGGTTCATGTGAAGTCCCAGAGTCCAGGAGGGTCCTCAGATTCATCTCCAGCTCTAGGAAGAAGAGCTGCAGAGCTATCTTGACAGCACCACTGCATCTACTTCTGGCTGTGATGCCATCTCCACACCAAATCCATGCCAGTTGCAACACTACCCAACCCAAGTACACTGATTATGATTATGGTGGAATCAGTCAGAGGCCTTGCCACCACCTCAGTGTTGGCACAGCAGGAAATCCAGGTTCCTACTCAGCTAACATTACACTGGAGTGAAGGATCACTAGCAAACTCAGGAGTCCAGAGCAGAGCCTCGAATCCACTCGTCAACACCAAGCCAAAGCTTCATCAGCTTTGTACCTAAGTTCCATTGCCAAGTGGTACCGAACTGATAACTCCCTAAGGCATATTGCAAACACTTCTGGTGCCATTTTTGCACAATAAAGATAATATTTGTTGTCCCTATAACCTAAAACTTACATGAATTTGAATCAAAATGACCACATGACTGGGAAGATGGTTAACAATAAGCAAATATGAGTTAGATCATTCTCCCTCTTCCCCCTGTTCAGATGGCAGCAGGGATCTCCTTTTTCAACAGTAGTGTCTCCAAAGCTTCCATCTAGATATGATTAATTCAAAGACAATCAGATTGTGCATAAATCTCTTCTGGCACATGTGCTTTTACAGTTGATTTGTGTATTTTTAAATGTAATTATGTCCAGTCTCATCAACAGCCTCTGTAAAAATATGCATTATAAATATGATTTGGTAAGAGATGTACTAACCACCTCTGTGATTTACGGGTCCTGATGGGACAGCTACCATCAGAATACAGTAGTAGGCCAGTAGAACAAGCTGTCCAGGCAAGTTGTGGAATCTCCGTCAATGGAAGCTTTCAGGAAGAGGTTGGATAGGCATTCTCTACATCCCAGGGAGGGGGTTAGACAGGATGACCACTGAGATCTCTTCCAATCATAGGCGGAGGGAGAAAAATAATTTGGGGGAGCTGAGTGCAGGTAAGTCTGTGGGGTAAGGAGCAGGCTCTTCCTGGCAGGAAGATTGGGCCACACTGTGCTCAGGATGGGCGTTGGTGGTGCTGGGAGGGGGGAGGGGGCTATGGCAAATTTTGGGGTAGCTGGAGCTCCCCCTATCACCCCCTCCCAGTGCCATTGGCACCCACCCTGAGTACAGCCTGCCCCAGTCCTGTCTCCCCGTTCCCCCACTGGGAGGAGCCCGGCACCACCCTTGCCCCAGTCTGCAGTGGCTGCCTTCCCTGCCCCACACAGATCTGGGAACACCCCCTCCCCTCATGCCCTCCTGGGGTGCACATAGCAGCAGGAGCCAGGCCCTCCAGGTGAGCTGCTTGCAGCTCAGTCCTGTGCTCCACCCCGCTCTGGCTGTGCAGCGCTTGCCTCAGCCCCACTCCCTCCCTCACTGCTGCACGTGCGCCCCTCTGCACCCCTGCTGCAGCCACTGGAAGACTAGCCCACAGTTGGGCTGCCTTGCAGCCCTACCGCTGCCCCGCGTTTGGGAGGGCTAAGCCCCTTTAGCCCCACCCCTTCTGTTGCCTATGCTTCCAATCTTGATTCTATTATTCTAAAAACAACCACCCAAACTATAGTTTGACAGTGAGAAAAGAACAGAGAAAATTTGGCCCCAGTCCACTCCTCCATGCACATATTGTATTACACAAGGGATGTAGTCTCATTGTTTTAGGTTACATGAAGCATGTACATAAGGATTTGCAGGATCAAGGCCGTAACTTGTTCTTGGTCCCTCCGGCAGTTCTGTTTCCATAAATGGACCTGGGAAGATATTATGGGGAGAAAGAAGCACAACAAAGAGAAACAAGCAACTAATGAAGATGAACAAAATGAAGGACAGCTCAATAATGGCTAAGAGCCAAACCAAATCTGAAAAGTAGAGAAATAAGAAGTCCCATCCAAATTTAATTAAATGGAGTGGCAGGATCTGGCATTCTGCATAGAAATGCAGTGCTCTGATGTCTGCTGCCCAGCTAGCAAGATTAGCTACTCTTCCAAAAGCTGACAAATTTTGCTGATTATAGTGACCTGAGAGACTACATAGTGACCTGAGAGATGGCCATATCCATTAGGGAGATCCTGCAAGAACAGCCAGGCATAAGGAGTGCACTTAGGTGAAGCTTATGTTCTGTTGTTTAAATTAGCAATGAAGTCAAAAGTACTTCTTTCCCAGGCTTGACTTTATGTACTGCATGTCAACTTCACTCAGATGCCAACTTTACAAATGTTGATGAAGTCTCAGTGGTAAATTTGAATATATTGACCCAACTGATATGAATTTTTGTTAATTAATAAAAATAACTGATGAACTTACTGTACCACTGACAAATCCCCAAGTAGTATCACAGACAGTAAGGATGGCAGCAGGAGACAAAAGACAAATTTAGTAGGGGTGCATCAATAGAGATTTGGGGGGGCAATACCATTGGCCAATTTTTAATGAGCCATATCTGTGGCCCCTTAGCATCTGGCTGGTAAGTCTCCTGTGGAGGAAGGGGCAAGGGAAGAGGGGTGGGGGGGCAGATCAAGGCACCTGCAGTGAGGGAAGGAGTGGGGCTTGGGCAGGGTAGGCACTGCCCAGCTAGGGTGGGGCGGGGCATGGGACAGAGCCACGAGCAGCTCATCCAGGGGGTGCAGGGAGAAGGGATGGCTCCTACCACTACAAGCACCCTGGGAAGGCATGGGGACATGTGCCCCCAGATCTGTGCGCGGGGTGAGGGCAGGCTTCCACTGCAGTCTGGGGCCGGGGCTGTGCCAGGCTCTTCCTAGAGTGGGGGGCTGGGCCATAACTGCGCTGCTATGGCAGATTACTGGGGTTGCTGTAGTCCCCCCTGTGGTGGAGCACCTTTGGGGTGCTCACCACATGGCAGAGGCTCTAATAGGCTGGGGCAGAGCCCAGCAGAGAAGGCAGCCTAGGGAACCCCTCCCCCCACTCTGAGTTCATTCAAAGAGGGGAAGGTGTGTGGCAGAGCACCTTTGAGGGTGCTCACCACTTGGGGCTCTGGTGGTAGCCTGCTTTGGAGGAGCAGCAGGGGAAACCCCCTAGATACCATTTAAAGGGGGAAGGTGTGTGGCAGGGAACTGTTGGTGCCTGCCACTTTAAGACCAAAGCTACGCAGCCAGCAGGTGCTTGATTAAGCCAGCCATTTTAGATCTCTGGCTGTGTATATAAAGAGCTCAGTTCCCTGCTGGTGGGCAAGGCAGCCTGGTTGTGAGATTTCTTGGAATGACCTAGAGGTAAAGGAGGAGCTGTAGGGGATGGATTGGAGGCTCCTGGTCCTGGGCATGACCTAAAACTGCACCCTACTGGGAGTGGGTGGCCTGGTGGGGCTCCCAGTGGTACAGGAGCCCCCAGGAAATGCCAGGCCCGGTATCACCCTGGTGAAAGGCAGGTAGGGGTGCCTTAACCCTAGCCTTCACCTTTGGGTGGGTTGAATGACACCGGAGGCAGTTGGGGCTAGGCATGGC